ACCCTGTACCCAACCTTGTAACTGGGTTTTGAGAAAGAATTTATTTCAGCACCATGGACAAATCACTCCAAACACAGCCCTACAATTAAGAGCTATAGGAAATGTTCCTTTAGGTTTAAGTATAGGAAAGAACTTTATAATGACCACCTTCCATTTTAACACACTTCAACAATCGTGAATAAAAATACTCAGCTAGATAATATGAAGTTTACACAGTAAAAACCCTTTTATCTTATGGAAAAACATATAAATGGCCCTTTACATGACATGCATCACTGTGATAAATGCATTAAAGTGTCATTAGATTTAATGGTTCCTACTCAGATTATTATGCTATACCTTTTAAAGTTGGTTTAATGCGTATTAATGGTGTGAAATTGACAAAATTATGAATGGCAGTTCCCTGGGCACAGGTTAAAAACTAGGAAGGAGGAATCAGACTAGTTAATATTACTTTCCACCCGCCTCTTTATTTATACTGTAAGAGATGTCAGCTCTGCCCTTGGGGAAGAAACACTCACCGTTAGTAAGTTGAACCTAAATTGATTTTTATGGTTTTAAACTCAAGTAACTGTCGTTGGGTGGGTCATTAAAGGTTAGCAGTTTTCTTCAGGGAAAAAGAAAATGTGCATTCTTCTGAGATTAAATTTATATTTTATCCCATACTTTTCAGAGATAGATCATTTCTTAGTTGTTTCCGTTCCTTTACTTAACACATAAAACCAGCTTACAGGGGGATTTAGGACATTCTTATTTTATAATGTTGCCCTCTCATCACTACAATTAGTCACACACAACAAATCAAAAACAACAACAAAATCACCGCCCCCGGCTTGCTCCTGACCCACAGCGACTCCAAGGGACAGGGTAGAACTGCCCCTGTGAGTTTCTGAGACTGTCACTCTTTATAGGAACAGAAAGCCCCATCTTTCTGCCAAGGAGTGGTTGTGGGTTTCAAACTGATGACTTTGCAGTTAGCAACCCAGTGAGTAACTACCTTGGCTGCCTTGCTGCTTTACAAAGCATGATGTCCTTCTCCATCATGTCCAATCTCTCCTGACAACATGCCTAAAGTACGAGACAAAGTCTCATCACCCTTGCCTGGAAGGGGCATTCTGGCTGCATTTATTTCAAGACAGATTTGTTTGCTCTTTAGGCAGTCCCTGCAATTCAGTAATTCAAATGCAACAATTCTTCTTC